TGTATGTGTATGTACGCATGTACGTACGTACGTGTATGTATATATATATATGAATACGCATAAAAATGCATGCATGCATGCATGCATGCATGCATCCGTACACGCACAACATATATATATATGTACACACGCATGCTGCACAGCGATGAATTTCATGCATTACCCACGCGCGCGCGACGCCAAACGGAAATATATGAGACATCACAAGTTGGGCGTAGAAAACTAAATGGGGAAAACCGAATTCCTCACAGCGACTTGCGAAACACTATGTGATCTTACTGCGCACGCGCGCGAACGCTCGCACGCGGCGGCACATGAACAAACAAACAAACAAACAAACATGGCACGCATCACCCCGAAAACCGAACGATGAAAGCCGATTGTTCCAGTTGCGCGTTGGGCATCAACGTGAGACCACGCAATAAAATTATCCTGGCGAAGGGCCCAACCATACGCAATTCCGAATGCCGCCGTTGTAAGTATCGTCGTTGGTGGAACACCCGATGGGGCTTCGAAGCGTGTGAGAGGTGCGCCAAATGGAGGTGGAACTGCATGCGGACCCTGCCACTGGGGCCTTCGGTGGAGCACCCTGTGGGGCCGCGAAACGTGTGAGGGGTGCGCCGAAATGGAGGTGGAACTGCATGCGGACCCTGCCATTGGCGCCCTCGGTGGAGCTCCCTATGGGGCCGCGAAACGTGTGAGGGGTGCGCCGAAATGGAGGTGGAACTGCATGCGGACCCTGCCACTTGGGCCTTAGGCGGAGCTCTCTATGGGGCCACGAAACGTGTGAGGGGTGTGCCGAAATGGAGGTGGAACTGCATGCGGACCGTGCCACTTGGGCCTTAGGCGGGGCTCCCTATGACGCCACGAAACGTGTGAGGGGTGCGCCGAAATGGAAGTGGAACTGCATGCGGACCCTGCCACTTAGGCCTTAGGCGGAGCTCCCTATGGGGCCACGAAACGTGTGAGGGGTGCGCCGAAATGGAGGTGGAACTGCATGCGGACCCTGCCACTGGGGCCTCAGGTGGAGCTCCCTATGGGGCCACGAAGCGTGTGAGGGGTGCGCCGAAATGGAGGTGGAACCGCATGCGGACCCTGACACGTGGGCCTTCGGTGGAGCTCCCTATGGGGCCACGAAACGTGTGAGGGGTGCGCCGAAATGGAGGAACCGCATGCGGACCCTGACCTGGGCCTTCGGTGGAGCTCCCTATGGGGCCACGAAACGTGTGAGGGGTGCGCCGAAATGGAGGTGGAACCGCATGCGGACCCTGACACTGGGCCTTCGGTGGAGCTCCCTATGGGGCCACGAAACGTGTGAGGGGTGCGCCGAAATGGAGGTGGAACCGCATGCGGACCCTGACACTTGGGCCTTCGGTGGAGCTCCCTATGGGGCCACGAAACGTGTGAGGGGTGCGCCGAAATGGAGGTGGAACCGCATGCGGACCCTGACACTTGGGCCTTCGGTGGAGCTCCCTATGGGGCCACGAAACGTGTGAGGGGTGCGCCGAAATGGAGGTGGAACCGCATGCGGACCCTGACACTTGGGCCTTCGGTGGAGCTCCCTATGGGGCCACGAAACGTGTGAGGGGTGCGCCGAAATGGAGGTGGAACCGCATGCGGACCCTGACACTTGGGCCTTCGGTGGAGCTCCCTATGGGGCCACGAAACGTGTGAGGGGTGCGCCGAAATGGAGGTGGAACCGCATGCGGACCCTGACACTTGGGCCTTCGGTGGAGCTCCCTATGGGGCCACGGAACGTGTGAGGGGTGCGCCGAAATGGAGGTGGAACCGCATGCGGACCTTGCCACTGGGGCCTTCGGTGGAGCTCACTATGGGTCCACGAAACGTGTGGCCATGATGGAGACGGCGATGATGATGACGACGATGGTGATAAGAACGATGATGATGATGATGTTGATGATGACGGTGACGATGACGATGATGATGATGCTGATGATGAGAGGAGGAGGAGGAGGAGGAGGAGGAGGAGGAGGAGGAGGGGGAGGAGGAGGAGAGGAGGAGAGACGCGGGGCACCGTCTCTTCAAAACGAGGACCCAACACCACAGGATGGTTGGGAACAACAGGGTGTTGTGTTTTATTGCGCGCACGCGGCACCATATATTTTTATTTTTAATTGTTTATTTTTTATAAAAGGACAGGCGTAACCCCGAAAACATAATGATAACAACCAGTTGTTGCACGTGCATTCTGGTGTTCAGTATGAGATCACGAATCGGGAACAGCATGCGCTCTTATTGCGCGCGCGCACGCGGCGCCATGGGGGGAAAACACCACGGCATGATGAGATCCAAATTGCAAGTGAAACAGTTGTTTGTCATCGCTCCGTGTTCGGCAGCGACGCGCGTCACCCTTGAGTCGCTATTTTGGCGCCGCGCGCGCACGCGCGCAATGGGGAAAAAGCTGCGTTTCAGAACTCATGATATCACGTTGAAGCTCAGAACCCATGTGAAACAGTTAGTCTCTCGAGTCAACTTGCGATCGTTTCTTGTTCAGTGCTTTGCCGATCGGCGCGGGCCCCATGGAATGGATCTCGGTTGTCCTTTGGCGCCTGTCTCGGGCAGGTGGAGCCGCCCCCATAGTGGACGCCCTGTTGCGAACAGCCGCATCAAGCAAAGGTCTGGAGCCAGACCCCCCCCCCACCCACCCACCCACCCACCCACCCACCCTACCCCCCGCACCCCACCCCACCCCCACCCCCACCCCCTCCCCCGCAAGGGTTGCATCTCCGTGCCCTGGAGCATCGCTCGCGGCGAGGTTTTTGTAATCTTCCACAAAAGGAATCGTTTTTGTAATCGGCCACAGCAGAAGTCTTTTTGACCCCCCCCCACACACACACATTGATTCTTCTTGTGGGACCTTCGAACAAAATTCCTGTGCGCCCGGCCACGGAAGGGGGGGGGAATTCGGCCGACGAAAAAGGCAATTTGGGGGGCCAAAAACGTTGCGTTTTGAATTACAAGTTGGTTTTCAATTGAAAACCCAAAGAGGCAAAAAAAGGCAACTTGGAAGCAAAGAAAACTTGTGTTTCTCAGTGCTTGCGCATATGCAAATTGATTCCCAGTGTGCGGTATTCCCATAAAGTCCTTTGAGCCTCGTTCAAGAAATTTATTTGCAATGCACACATGGATTTCTAATTGTCCCCTGCACAATAGGAATCGATGTGTAGATCCCCACAAAAGGGTTTTATTTGAATACCACACAATAGGAATCAATATGTAAATGTGCAAACACTAAAATCACATGTTTTCCTTGCTTCCAGGGTGCCTTTTTGCGTTTCTTGGTTTTCCATTAATAACCAGTTTTCAATTCAAAACACAGCGTTCTTCGCCCTCTGAATTGCTTTTTCTGTTTTTTGTTTTTGTTTGTGCTTTTTTCGTCGGCCAGGCCCCCACCCGCCTCCGCCTGAGCCAGGCGCAAAGGAATTCTATTGAAATCCTCGACAAAAGGAATTCCGCTGAAATCTTTTACATGAGAAATCTTATTGAAATCTTTTACAGAAGGAATCTTGTTGAAATCCACCACAAAAGGAATTATATTGAAATCGTACCCCGTAGTTCCGGCCCAGTTCCCTTGCCCCCTTTTTCTTTCGGGGCTGGTGCCTCCCTGGGCCCTCTGGGGCTTTCTGTGGATGATTACCAAAGAATTTTTCTGTTGATATCAGGAAGATTCCTTGCGCGGCGGATTGCAAAAAAAGATTGCTTCTGCGGCGACTTCATTTTGTTCGACGTTGCGCCGGGCCTTGGTATATGAATGGTCGTTTGGCCCATCGGGGTGCGCTCGCAACGCCGTTGTCCCGTCTGCCGCTCCCCCTTTCTCTCCCCCTTGCCCTCCGCCTCCTGTCGCGGGTGTTTTTTTACTTCTGGTCTCTGCCAGCGCGTCATGAAGATGGCGCGCGCGATAGCCGATTTTGGCAACCACGCTGCCCAGCCACCCTCGCCGCGTCTGCGGATCTGCTTCCTATGGGCGGCGATGCGCGCGACCTCGTTGGCGGCGGCCGCCATTCCTATCTGTCGCAGACGCAAGGGGAGCTTGCAGCGATAACGAGGCAAGTAGCCGCAGCTACCTTGTCGACCCTCAGCGACGCAGAGAGCGCTGCCGCCGCCAGACGAGATGACCTGTGGCACTGCCCGTTGTGCCCTCTGAAAACTTTCCAGCGGAGAGGTAAATTGGTCTCCCACGTGCGCAATCTGCACGCTGGCAAAAGCTTATGTGGCGCGTCGAACAAACAGATTCGCGTGATCCATGCGATGTGTAACTATTCAGTATTACGCCAGCGTTCTGCAAGCCTCTGAACTACGCGCGGAGATGGGCATGGGCCGAGCTCGCGGCTTTCGCGCAGCGCAGAGTTCATTCGGAACGGGTGTGAGGAGTGTCCATCTCGGGACGAGGTCAAGCATCAGCTGAGGTGGACTGACTTCAATCGACACACAGTCCTACTGCTCGATGCTGGCGATCGCACTCGTTTCATTTACGCGCGGACACAGGGCTGTTCCACCGAGTCAGCGAGCATTACCAGTGTACCAATGCTTCCTTGGCTTCGTCCCGTCCGCTTTACTCCACCCGGACACTTAGGGGTCCGAGAAGGGAGCTGGGGCGCACTCGAAGGACGCAGCAGGTTCCACCCGCTATCTTTCACCAGAGGACGCCCGCATTCATTAAACCTTCGCAGAGGGTTGATTGAAACATTGCCGCATCGAGACCACGATTGCGAAGTGCCACGAGGAGGCGGACAAGACTTGACGGGCAGTAGTCAACCCTGCTTTCGGTATGTATTGTACCAGACGCAGCATGGAGCATCCGGAGGTGAACGAAAGCCAGGTGTCCACGTCCAGTTGTCGGCACAGCGCATGGACTCGGTTCTCTTGGTCAAGCCGGCACCGTCGGAGGCATTCGCGCACGCTTAGAGAGCTCTGCTCGAAGCGGCCGGCAACACGAACGGCGCGATGCAAAAGTACGCGTGATCTGTTCAGATGCGCCCATGCCGTCGGAGGACGCCGCCCTCCGCGCCGCGTTCCCGCGGCTGCAAGTGCCTCTCCAAGGGCCCCCCTGCACATCGCGCTCGAGGTCGAGCAGGCGTCCGGCGAGAAGCGCACTCCGCTATCGACTCTCATCCGCCGATGCATCGCGAAGTTCTCGAACGGCTTGGACGATGTCAAGCCTCACTACCGTGGGCAGCGGCGGCGAACGGATTCGAAGTCACTGGACGATGCGATGTCCTCGCTGTCGGATGCTTCTGTGGCGAGAGCCACGTCGGCGATCGAGGCCGCAGGCTACCCCGAGCGACCGCACCGCAACGCCGTCTCCTTCGTCAAGGACATCGCCGCCCTGCGCAACATGCCCCCGCGGGGGATGGGCAAGACGACCGGCAAGAAGAACATTGTCTGGGGAAGCTTGCGATATGCAACGTCGCCCGCGCAGCTCGAGCACCTCCTGAACCCGGGTAGATATCACTGCGCGGAATCGCGGCATTCAGGTGATGCATGGAACAACGAGGAACGAAGCATTCCATGTGCAATTAAAGGCATTATTCCGCAATGTCTTTATTCAGACAGGGCGCAACGCGCGCGCAGTTTGTTCGATTTGCACATTTGCCAAGCTTCTGGCAGGTTGGGCCCGGAAGAGTTTGCCTCTGACCGAGCGCCACCAGGAGCGCGAGCTGCTTCAGGCTGCGCCGTGCACCTTCACCCAACACCCGCCATAGATCGCGCCAAAGTTGCGCCTGCCAGCGCCAAAGTTTTGCGCGGGAGGCCAGCGGCTGCTGCGGCGATGCCCCGTCTGCGAAAGCGGTCTGCCGCTGCTAGCGCCGAAGTTGTGCGCAAGGGGCCAACGGCTTCTGCGGCGATGCTCCGCCCGCGCAAGCGGCCTGCTTCCGTCGCTGTTCCGTGAGTTCTTCCAATGTGTTCCCCAGGAATTGACGCGTGCATGCTTAATTTTTCTCCAAATCGGAGTGTCTTCCCAATGAATTACGGTGGTGGCGTTGGTTAAGGAATGTGCCCAGGATGGCTCGGACCCTGGATGATTCCTTCTTTGGCGAAGGCAGTTGCGATACCCATGGTCCATGTTCGATCCATAATTGGGGTTCCAATGGCCTCCAAACCTTGGATTTCTTATTAAAGGTTTCCTCGTCCAACGCCTCCACCATAAATGGATGCGGCGCCCACAGGCTGAGCCTTGTTCGCGCCCGTGTCAATGTAAGCGCATGCTGCCGTTCAGTGAACTGCTCAACAGCGTTACTCAGTCGCCCCCTTGCTTCGAGAACCAACAACATTACATGGATTCGTCATGTGAGTTGGCAGCTATTCACCATTGGCCAGACTCTCTTTTCTCATGCATCCTGCTATTCCACTGGGGAAGCCAGTACAGAATGTCATGTTCCAGGGCATTGGGGTACAATCTCTACCCCCCTCCCCCCCCTTCCGCCCAAGTCGGGTTGACCCAAAATGGGGTCCAGCGACAAGGGGGTGGTGCAATAGATCTGGTGCAATAGATGTGTGGAGCAATACCTTCGGGGCGTGCAATACATTTCGGGGCGCAAATGTATTGCTGTAGTTTCGCGTGCACTACATTTAGTTGCAACACAATGCAATACAATTCTCCGGCGCAATGCATTGGCAATACAATTGCCCCAAATCTATTGCACCACCCCTTTTTCAGCTAGACTCCATTTCGGGTCACCCAAACCAAAGTCGAAACGCCGAATAAGAAAACGGAGAGGAGAGGTCGCCACAGAAATAGGTTGGGCCTGTCCCTCTACAGGGCGAATATTCCTAAACGGTCCAAGAATACTATGGGGACGAGTTGTTTTTGTTTGTTCTTGTTATGTTGGGGCACTTTTGGGGGTATTCTTAATTTTTCGCCCAAAATCCGCCTGTACGGGGACAGGCCCGACCTAACAGTGGCGAGGCCGCCCCAGCGATCCGAAGCTCCAAAACATTTGAGCGGGCGGTTTTTGGCTGTTTCCGGCCTCCATGGGGCCCTCGCCAGGCCTCGGGATACAGTCAAAGCACGATTCAGGATGAAAAGCCAGTCTTAGGGAAGTGGTCCAGGTTTCCAAGGCCCACACATCAAAAAGATTGAAGCACCTGGATGTCTGGGGTGTACGCTGGCGGGAACGGCCCAGCGTGTGTAACGATTCCTTGGGCTCGTCGTTATGTTCGGTAGTCCACAGGGGCAAGCTTGCAGGAGCTCCGGTTCCTTCCGAGCGGGTGGGGTGGATCTCCAGTCCCGCTGCCGCGCGTTTGCCCCTGAAGCGTCGATGGTTTCCAATTCCTCCGACGGCGTATGCGTGTTCGCTTGCTTGATAGTTGGTTGGGTGTCTTGCCTGTACCCTTGCTGGCTTATTCGCCGGCTGGCGTGCGTGCTTGCTGGCTTGGTTATTGGCGCTTGCCCGCTTCCCTACTGATGTTTGCTAGTTGGCCTTTGCATGCTCGCAAGGGTGTTGATTTCTATGTATTACGTGAACTGGCGCGCTTGATATGAATCGTTTTGTGGTTGTTCGCTTCAAACATCTTGATCGGAGCCGGCTATGTTACATCTTCGCGCAGTCGTTTTGATGTATGAGGTGAGTAGCATCCACATGCTCGAAATTGCCGCAGGACGCATTCTTGTCGTACGTCATGACCAACCCCTGGACGGAGGACCCATTCGCGCTCCGATCGACGGACTTGTTGTTCGTGGTCCACCCCTTCTCTCTCTTGGAGCGTGTGGTGCGTATCAGGGGGGCAGGGCAGGGTCCATGTGAATCCGATCTGGCTCGATTTCGACGTTCCGACGATCCGATGCGGCCTGGCATTCGCATAATTAGCGTTGTTGTACATGTGGACGCGGCCGATCCGATTCGATTCCGATTCCGTGCCGGTGCAGACCGATCCGACGTACATTCCGATTTGATCAGATTTCTCGATTCGGTGTTGTCTGATCTTGGGGTGAGGGAGGCGGCCTTATTACCAGGCACCTCGCCTCTTAGAAAACCCCTCCTGCCTTCAGAACGCCTTCCTGAAGCGCAAAACCCACACATCCGCCGATATGATCCTTCCAGCGCGCGGCCTCAGAAGTCCCGACCCCCTCCCCGGAGCTGTTTTTTTGTCCCAGACTCGTGTTTGAAGGCCACGGGGCCCGACAGCGATGAGGATGAGGAATGAGGAGCCCGACAGCGAGGAGGGAGGAGGATGGAGGTCGCCAGGCCTTGGGACCGTCCAGAAACGACTCAGGAAGAAAAACCGGTCCTGGGGAGTGCTCGAGATTTGCAGGGCACACGCATCAAAAAAATCGGAGCAGCGGGATGTCTGGGTCGATGGCTTCCGATTCCGGTTCGATTCGGCTTGGGATTCCGATGTGGATTCCGATTTGAGAGGCCTTACTAGCTTGTGGGTTTCCGCCGGCTCGACGTTCCCCGACACGGCCGCCGGTTTCCGCCGATCCGATTCATGTCGATCGCCGATCCGACTTACCGATTCGATTCTGGGCTCGCGTGCTGCCGCCGCCCCCCGCAGGTCGGCGTGGTGCTCGTGGAGGACGGCTCCGAGGTGGCCAGGGGCGGAGGCTGGGGGCAACGATAGGAGGAAGAGGTTCCGGTACAAGTACCGCTACCTGTCCCCCGTTCTCCCCAGTCGTGGGCCTCTTGGGAGGCCCTTTCTGGTCAGAACGCACCTCGGCAGAGGTCTGGGGAGTCAGGGGTACTGCTACCCTTCCCCCGTTCTCCCCAGTCTTGGGCCTCCTGGGAGGCCCTCGTCGCCGCCGCTGGATTCGCCTCGAAGTTCTGGTCAGTACGCTCCTCGGGAGAGGTCCGGGGGGTCAGGGGCAACGGTGGAGGGGGAATGGGCTCAGGGATCGGGCGTGTGGGGGGTGAAGAAAATGGCCCGAAAGGGGCACTTTGGGGCCCCTCTTGGACCCCTGCTGGCTCCACAAGGGGCCCTATTCACCCCCCATTGATCGAATGGGGGATCGACTACAACATCGACTTACCTCAGAATTAGCTTGTTTTCGTCGAATCGACTAAAATACGTAGAGGGATCCGTGCATATGCGAACACTATACGTCCCGGTTTCGTTCAAAAAATCGACGCGAAAATCAAGTTTGGGGTACATCATCTCTGTAGTCGATCCCCCACTCGAATTTAGCACCCGCCCGAAGGGAGGGACCAGCGACCCTCAATCCGCACAAGGATCGCCGATGAGGGCCCGATGGCCCGCCTGGCCCAGGCCCGCGCGGAGTCGCTGTCGGGGACCGGCGGAGGCCCCTGCCAGTGGTCCGTCGCCTCCTCCCCCGCCTCTTCCCGTCTCCCTCCCCCGTCTCCTCCTCCTCCCCCCGCCTCCTCCTCCTCCTGCCTCCTCCTCCTCCTCTCCTCCTCCTCCTCCTCCTCCTCCTCCTCCTCTCCTCCTCCTCCTCCTCCTCTCCCCCTCCTCCCCTCCTCCTCCTCCTCCTCCTCCTCCTCCTCCTCCTCCTCCCCTCCTCCTCCCCTCCTCCTCCCCCCCCTCTCCTCCTCCTCCTTCCCCTCCTCCTCCTCCTCCTCCTCCTCCTTCTCCTCCTCATCCATCCATCGATTTTCCTTGCAACTGCCTCCTCCCTGTTGGACCCCCCGGAAATGATGTCGGAAGGGCGGACCAGGCGTTTCGCCTGGGATGTCTTCGCTACGTATGATCTCGAAGCTTGAACTTTGCAACAATGTGAAGGATGGAGGGCGGGCGGTTTTCAAACGGTGGTTCTAGTTTTAGCGCCGCGCACATACGTTTTAAGAGGTTGCAGCAAGTTAAAGGATGTTGGGCGGTTGGTGTTCAACATGTGGCTTTCGATTTGGCGCCGTCCACATTCGTTTTCAGAGCTTGCAACCGTTTCAAGGATGGAAGGCGGACGATATTCCAAATGCGGCTCTCGTCTTACCGTCGTGTACAAACAGCTTCAAGGACGGAGAGTGGTTGGTTTTCAAAATGCGGCTCTCGCCGTAGCGCCGCGCACTTTCGCCTGGAACAATGAATGGATGGAGGGTTTTTCAAAATTCAGCACTCGCCTTAGCGCCGCGCGCATTCGTCTGAAGGGTTTGCAACAGTTTCTCAGGTTCGTAGGGCTCTGGTTCTGGGAATGGTCTGCCAGCACGATTTAGGATTGTCAGGACGCAACAGTCGCGTTGATCCACGGTGTTGAAGTTCCAAGAGTTGCATTTCGGCACGACTGAAGATTCTCAAACGGTTGCTCGCCAATAGGGCATTCCCGAGAATGAAAATAAATCATTGCAAGGGCTTGTGAAGAAGAAAATTGGAGAAAGAATGTATTGCAATATTGTTGATGTGTCTTGGGTTTACACTGGTCATCCTCATTGTCAGAAGCATCATCATCATATTACAATTCTCCTCAGCATCCTCACCACTCCTCATCCTCCTGCTCTCCTGTTCCTCCTCATCGTCCTCCTCCCTCCTCCCGTTCCTCTTCATCGTCATTCCTCCTCACGCCTCCTCCCCGTTCTCCGCCTCCTCCTCTCCCGTCAAACATCGGCAACCAGACGAAGATCTCAAAGGAAATCTGGCCGTGACGGCGAGAAGACCCCCTCGGAGGCAAACGACAAAGCCGTGCACACACAACAATATTGTTGAATTTGGCAACTCGATCCTCCTCCCTCCCTGGATCTGAGGATAGGGGGAGAAAGAGGCGGAGGAGGAGGAGGAGGAAGAGGAGGATCAAAAGTACGTAAGCCCAAGATGCATCAACGATGTTGTAATACACCCTCCCTTCCCAAATCTTCCCTCGTTAGCCCATAAGAGCCTTCCTGCTCGCTACGAGGAGTGCCCCTTGGAAAACGGACACCCAATGGGCCCGCCAGTCAGGCGAGACGCCTTTTTGAAAAGGGACTAGCATGCATCTGGTCGATCAAAGCGTGTGAACTGCAACAATGTAGCTCGATCAAGGTCGATGAAGTTTCCAGCGAGAGCCCCGTTTCGGAAAGGAGTCGGCCCCAACCCGTGACATTGTTGCGCAAGTTCACACGTCTGGTGCGAGGGCCCAACGTCTAAGAATGAGTTGCCCTCCATCCGTACAGATGTTACGCCTGTTCAAGCATCTGGTCGCCAGGGTTGAGAAATTCCAAGGCGAGAGCTCCAGTTTGCAAAGGGGCCGCCCTCCACCCGTGCAAATGTTGCGAATTGTTACAGTCGTGCTTCCGAGGTGAATCTCACGCGACAGCCCCATTTTGAGAACGGACAGGCTTCCACCCGTGTAGCCGTTTCACAATTCCGCATGCGGTGATCTGTGCTGAGGACGTGTCAGTCGAAAGCCCCACTGCGAAAGCGGCCCGGCCCCCATCCGTGCATCTGCTGGAATATATCGACTGCACGTAAGAGTGACATTTCGCCGGAGTGATCTTTGGTGCGAGCTCATCGGGCTCCCCCCGATCGCCGAGCGCGATGCGATATAAGCGGCCCGCGCCCTTGGGTTTGGCTGCCTCGCGCCCCCAAAAGCTGCGCACCAAAGGTCACTCTTACCCGGGGTCACTCTTACGCCTAGTCGAATCTAGGACGATTGCTCGCGGCGCTGAGGCGAGTGCCCAGTTTTGAACAGGACCCGGCATCCATTCCAGTATGATTGTTCGAACGTCTCCGGGACGATTGCGCGAAGCGCGAAGGCGGGAGCCCGATTGCGAACGCACCCCCCCCTCCGTCCGCGTAATTGTTGGAGGTTTGAAAATTCGGGGTGATAAGTTGGCTGGGAGCGGCCGCACAATCCCAGTCATTGGTCGTATGATTGTGTATTTTCGTCGTTCGTCGTGTTTCCCGATATCCCTCTCTCTCTCTCTCGTTCTCTCTCCCTCTCTCTCTCTCTCTCTGTTTCCTTCTCTCTGGGATGATTGTTTCCTGCCCCCAGAGGTCCTCGTGCCAGCGCGATCCAGACGCCTTCCGGGGCACTCCAAGTCATTCAGGAGGGAAAAAAACACACAGACACAATGAATCGTCGATTCCCCAGAAAATGTAGGAAAATATGGGAAGTGGGGGGGAAGACAAACACCCCGAAAGTATGGGAAAACATGGGGCATCCTTTTGTTGGTGTGTATCTATTTGTGTGTCCTGGGGCCCCCTTCAGTCATGGCAGGTGCCGACCGAGAACACACCCCGGCCCCCGCGCACGTGGTCGCACGAGGCGCCCGGCACGCGGAGGGATCGCTCGGCGGAGCTCCCTGCGGGTGCGGACCCACGACGGAGCCCGGCCCGCGCGCCTGCTCGCCCGAAGCGCCGCGGGCCTGCAGGCTGGACGAGCGGATCCTCCTCGCCCTGAGCGCGAGCCACGCACCTGCCTGTACCCATGCGGGGACGCCGAGGGCATCGGGGACGTGCCGGAGGCCATCCTCGGACTGTGCGAGCCGCACCGCCCGCGCGGCAAGACTGCACGTGACCGACTGGGCGCGCCGCTCGGGCCCCAGAGGAGGCACTTCAACCAGCTGTCGGCAGCCGGGCGACGACGGAAGACGAGCTCGGCTGCGCCGACGAGTGGCGCGGGGGCTTCCCGCGCGAGGCCGCGCGCGGGCGCCCTCTCGCTTCCGGCGCAGCGTGCCGCGTGGGCGGTCCGCGCAGGCTGCGGCGTCAGGTCGCTACAGTGGAAGCCCATACAGTCGGGGCCCTGAAGAAGGAACCCTTTTCGTTGAGGAGGGGCTCCGTGTTCCTTAATTGTTTCGCAGCTTGCCTTGGATTTTCCTTAGGTTTTCGATACGAAATCGAAGTTCAACTTATGGTAAATAGGGGCCTCGTTCCTTATTTAGGGTTCCTTAGGTCAACGCCTCGACTGTACCAAGAAACACCCTGCTTGCCTCTGGGGTGCCCCGGGTTTCCTGAGTTTCGATGGCTTTGCGATGGAGCCAGTGACGCTCCCACACCAAAATTCGATGGACGTCCTGGGGTCTCAGGGTTGGGCTTCTTGTGGCGCGCAACGATTGCGCGCGCGCATTCTGGCTGATCCCTCTCAACCACACGCATCAATTCGCCATGAAGGAAAAGGGGTCTTCATGGAAACGGTCTTGAGGTTTTCGCCGGGTTCGGGCTCCCGGGGCCCTCCACGGGCCGTCGGACCGTTGGAACACGATTCGGGATGGAGATCTCATCCCGGGGAAAAGCCCCTGGGGGTTCCAGGACCCGTTTCCCTCGGGACCCGCTTCTCTCATGCCAAATCTTTGAACAGAGGGCCCGCACGCTGCTCGCTGGAAGCGGCGCGCGCGCGCCCGTTCCGCATGCTGTAGTCCATGCGGCCAGGCCGCACGCATCTGCGCCCCCCTGGAAGCGCCCCCCACGTGGTGCGCGGAGGCGCTCCGCGACGCGCACTCTGGACGTTCCGACCTCTCGGGCATCGACAGAGCGCCCCCCCCCAGACAAGTCGATGGAGGAAATCTGCAGGTGCCCACTCGGCATTGGCATTCGAGCGTACGGCAGGGCTCGTTTCGATTTCTCCGATTCGATTCGATTCGACTTCGACGGCTTCCGATTCCGATTCGATTCGACTTGGGATTCCGATGTGGGTTCCGATTTCTCATTGGAGGCAAACTAGCCTGCCGATTTCCGCCGATCCGACTTCTCCCGACTCGGCTGCCGATTTCCGCCGATCCGATTCATTTCGATCGCCGATCCGACTTATCGATTCGACTCTGGGCTCTCCTGGTACCGCTGCCGTCCCCCATCGGTTTCGTTGATCGGCGCGCGTCTTACCCGATGCAGTCGGTGGGTTCTGGACGTCGACCAGCTCTTCCGCCCGGGTCCGCCCAGAGTGCGGCACCCCGTGGGCACATGCGGTGCCCTTGGCAGCGTTCGCCAAGGTGCGTGTCGCGGGAGGGGTTCTGTCCACCCCCGAACCTATACCCACCGCGGACCGACTTTTTTCGACTAGACGTAAGAGTGACCTTTCGCCGGAGTGACCTTTGGTGCGGGCACAGATGGGTCCCCAGATGGCTGAAAACGAAGCGGTAGCAGCTGCTTGCGCGCCCAGGTTTGGTTCCCCCGCGGCCCCCCAAAAGTCGCGCACCAAAGGTCACTCTTACCGAGGGTCACTCTTGCGTATAGCCGATTTTTGTTTGTTAGCAGCGAGACTGGAGGGCGTGCTGCTGGAGGGGGTTCTGTCCACCCCCGACCCGACACCCACCGCGAACCGAAACCTTTAGGCAGCAGCGAGACTGGAGGGCGTGCTGCTGGAGGGAGTTATGCCCACCCCCGACCCGACACCCACCGCGGACCGAAACTGCTGGTCAGCAGCGAGACTGGAGGGCGTGCTGCTGGAGGGGGGTATGCCCACCCCCGACCCGACACCCACCGCGGACCGTCTTTTTGTTTGTCAGCAGCGAGACTGGAGGGCGTGCTGCTGGAGGGGGACCTGTCCACCCCCGACCCGACACCAACCGTGGACCGAAACTGTTGGTCAGCAGCGAGACTGGAGGGCGTGCTGCTGGAGGGGGTTATGCCCACCCCCCACCCCAGGCCCTACACCCACCGCGGACCGAAACTTTTGGGCAGCACAGCGAGAGCGGACGCTGTCGCGCCCCGAGAGCCGAGGGGTCGCGCCGGGCCGCAGGGCACAGTAGGGCAGTTGGAAGAGGAGGGGGCGGCCACAGAGCAGGATAGCAGTGGAGGAGGAGGAGGAGGAGGAGGAGGAAAAGGAGGAGCAGGAGGAGGATGTGGAGGAGGTGGTGGAGGAGGAGGAGGAGGAGGAAAAGGAGGAGCAGGAGGAGGAGGAGCAGGAGGAGGAGGAGCAGGAGGAGGAGGTGGAGGTGGAGGAGGAGGAGGAGGAGGAGGACGAGTTTCCTCTGAGTTCCCTCGCGCCCAGAAGTCGGCGGGGGCCCACCTGGGAAACGACCGAGGGGCGCCAGAGCTCGACAGGCGCTCCTGTGGCCTCCTGGGGGGCCTGTCGGGGCGGAAGGCTCGCAAGATCCGTTCGGGAGCCTCGTTCGGACCTCCTCTTGGAGCCGTTTCGGGGGCCTCTTGGGCAGTCTCGGAGGTTTGGGGGGTCGTCTTGGGGCCTTCTGGGGCGGCTTTGGGGCCTTCTGGGGCGGCTTGGGGGCCCTGTTTGGGGGCCCGCTGGGCCGTCTGGGGGGCGTTTTTGGGAGCCTCTCGGCGGGCAGCTTTGGACGCGGTGAACCCCCAAACGTCGCGTATGCGAAAAATCCATGTTTCTCTCATGGAATGGAACAGTTTTTGCTTGGAGAGCCGCTTGAGGCTCTCTTTGGGCATCTTGGCGGCCTCTGGGGCCGTATGGAGGCCATCTTGGGCGTCTTGGAACGATCTGTCGGCGACTCGGAGCCTCTTGGACCGTGTCGGGAGCGCCCCAGCGTCCTTTTGGCGCGCTCCTGGGGCGCTCTGGGGGACCCGGCCAGGCATCGGCCAGGGTACTTTTCGTCCGCGCGCGCGCGAATTGGAAATATTGTTAACTAGTTACCAGACATCTTAGCACGCCTCTGGCGCGTTGGGCCGGCGAATTGGAGGAATGGAAGGACTGAGGTTAGAGGTGTTCAGGGGAGTTGAAAAGTTTTGAGCGGGTTGAAAGGTGAGGGTATCACCCCGTTTGCATGTCAACGCCATTTTGAGTCAACAGTTGTGCGGACCAGATTTAAGTTGGGCCCACACTTGCCAAAGACCTCAATATTCCAATGCGTTTGTCCTTTGCGCTTCGAATGAAAGCGAGGACCAGATTTGGTTTCGGCCCGCATCTGCAGAGAGCTCCAATCACCCAATGCGCCTGTCCATGGCGCTTCGAATGAACGCATGTGCGTACCAGGTTCGTTTGTAGCCCGCACGTGTAAAGAGTTCAGGTGTCCAATTTGCATGTCCGCGGCGTCTCCCGTGAACAAGTCTGCGGGCCAGGCCTGTTTTGGGTCCGCGCTTGCAGTGATTCGGAATGTCCAGAGTGCGTCTACATGGCGTCGGTATGAGGCCTCTTGGGGGCAAGAATTTTTCAGCCCAGATGGAGAGCGAGGGAGACGGAGAAAGAGAGAGAGAGAGAGAGAGAAACCAAAAAAAGGAGAGAGCGTGAAAGAGAGAGAGAGAGGAAGAAAGCAAGAGAGCGAGAATTATGGCGTATCCATCAGGCCTTGGTCTGTTTTTCCTCGTGCGTCCTCCCTCGGAGCACCAACCAGAAGTTCGGGGGCTGATAGACCTCCTGCCCTGACACGTCGACTAGCGAATTGGCCGTTTTCGCTTCGCGAGAGGGCGTCGCGGCCGTCATTTTTGTTGCGGGTCCAGGTCCGTCGGTCTCGGTCCTAGGCCGCTTTCATTACAGTCGGCCCAGATAAGTAGGTCGACCCTGCCAAATCAAGGGTACTTTTGTGTCCTGTGTCTCGCGACCCATGCCTCTTGCATTCCTGTGGCGACGTGGCCCTCGGAAGGGTCTCGGGTCCTCTCGCGTGTCCTGTCCAATCAAGGCCGTTTGCACAGGGAGGCTTACTGGAGGGAGGCGGAGGAGGAGGAGGAGGAGGAGGAGGAGGAGGAAGGGAAGGAGGAGGAGAGGAGGGGAGGAGGAGAGGAGGAGAGGAGAGAGAGGAGGAGGAGGAAGGAGAGGAGGAGGAGGGGAGGAGGAGGAGGAGGAGGAGGGGGGGAGGAGGAGGGGGAGGGGAGGGGTAAGGGAAGGAGGAGCGGGAGCAGGAGGAACAGGAGCGGGAGCAGGAGCGGGAGGCCTGTCCACCGCCGAGGAGTGGGCCCAGCCCGGGGCCGCGAGAGCCCGGCGCCCGCCTTGAGGGCGCGAGGAGTTTTCTTCCTCGGGAGGGAGAGGCGCCCAGGCCCGGCCTGCGGGCACGCCTTTTGCGGGAGGAGGAGGAGGAGGAGGAGGAGGAGGAGGAAGAGGAGGAGGAGGAGGAGGAGGAGGAGGAGCCTCTACAGGGGAAGACGGTGGGAGCGCGCGTTAAGCAACCACATGCTTTTCGTCAGGGCATCCTGGGTTTCTTCGCTCCTCGCGCTGCGCGGTGACTTCCCGCGGCCGTGGAAGGAGCTGCGGCGTTCAGGGGTTTTGGCTGTGTTTGAGTATGTTTGGACCCGCTCTTATTTGTCGCCCAAAATCCGTCTGTAGGGTGAGATGCCCGACCCAACACGAATTAGGAAGAGTGGCGGAGGAGGAAGTCGTCCTCCTTCCCATGGGCTCCTTTCGATCCCTCCAGTTCGATTCAATTTGATGTCGACGGATTCCGATGCCGGTTCGGTTCGACATCAGATTCCGATTCGGGATCCGGCTTCTCAGTGGAGGCCTACTGGCCTGCCGATGTCTACCCATTCGACTTTTCCCGACTCGGCTGCCGATCTCCGCCGATCCGATTCATTTCGATCGCTGATTCGACTTATCGATTCAATTCTGGGCTCTCCTCCCTTCTCAGTCAGGGGCAACGATATGCTGGGGGATGGGCATAAAGGGGGGACGCCGCGATTTTTCCTCCGGAGTCTGCTCTGGAACATCCCAGGGAGGGCCCAGCGAGTGCCCGCCCGAGGCCGAAGGCAACCACGTAATGTTCGCGTCGTGCTTCCCGGAGTCCTTGAGATCGAGGCGTCCCAGTTTTTGTTCGAGCTGGGCGTGTGCGCATGTTTTGTCCGGGCCCTGGGACCCTCACACAGTGATCTGGCTCGAGAAATGCCGCAGGAAGATGGGGCCTGGGGCTCCGGGCGTGATTTTCTGCGGTGCCGTATTTTTTTCGCCACGTCGGATCTCAGGGTTTTTCATAGGGGAACAAAAAGTGACATAAACATAAAAATTCGGAGGTCCGCGCGGATTTCTCGCGCGGACCTCCGAGTTTTTATGTTTATGTCACTTTTTGTTCCCCTATTTCACGACGCGAGCATGCCTGGGCCCTTCGACTGCCAAAAAAAATGGTTGGGCTCCTCGATCCGAGCAGCATCGATCACGCGTCCGTCGGGGGCAAGGGGGAGGGGGAAGGCTTCTCAGAAGGCGCGGGCCTTATCTATAGGTGGAATGCCGACGTCTTCTGAGAGGCAGCCGCCTCCTTCTAAGAGGCCTCCCCCCCTCCCCCTACCCCCTCGTGTTGGGCGCACGAATGATCCGGGATAACCTGCGGTCCGGGGTAACTCTGGCTTGAGCCCCCGAGGCGCGAGTCCGTAGCCACCCCTGTGTGCCCCCAGCCCCGACGCCTCGGGGCTCTGATTGTGCGCGCCGCCAACAGCGTGGGGAGGGGGCTGCGAGGAGGGCGGCCCCCCAGGTGGCCAAGGGCGGGACCCACAGCACGTGGGAGACCCTCACCAAGACGCCCCGTGTGGCGCTCGCGGAGGAGGCGCCTCCACCGCCTCGCGTTCCTCGTCTTCGTGCTCCCCTTCGACCTCCACTCCTTTTCTTTACAAACACACATCGTTCATTTCTAAGTATTCGAAAGTTCTTTGATTTTTTTGGGGGGCCAAGACCCTTTCATTTCTAAGTATTCTATCCTGGGCCTCTTCCTGGCCACCAGGGGGCCAGGAACAATGAGAGACGAGCACAATTAGAACTGAGCACGATGAGAAATGAACGACGTGTAATCTTTCCCTATCGCACACGGAGGCCAGTCGGAATGGCGGGCCAGGCGTTTCGCCTGAGACATCCTTACTATCTGTGATCTTGAAGCTGAAAGACCGGCAGCAGCTTCACAGATGGAGGACGGGTGACTTTCAAAATGTGGTTCCCGTCTTAGCGCCGCGCGCATTCTTTTCAAAAATTTGCAGGGGGGTGACGGATTCACGGCGGTTCATTTTCAAAATGGGGGTCTCGCCATAGCGCCGCGAACATTCCGCTTTAAAATGTTGCAAGAGCTTCACGGGTTCAGAGCGAATTGTTTTCAGTATGTGTCTCTCGACATAGCGCCGCGCACAATTGTTTCAATGTTTTGCACGAGTTTCATTGGTTCTCATGGTTAACGTACCAGAAATGGTGTTTTCGTTCAGGATTGTCAGGGCCCAACACTTGCGTTGATTTGTAGTGCTGAAGTCCCAGGAACGGTGTTCTGGCACAACTGAGGATCGCCAAGACGCAACAGTCAGGTTGACTCGTGGCGTAGAAGTCCTGAGAATGGTTTTGGCGCGCTTCGGGTGCTTCAAACGGTTGTCTCCCAATGGGGCATTTCCCTCATCGGAACTAAGTCATTCTATGGGGCCTATACGAGGGAGCTTAGAGGGAGGGTACATTCCAACATCGCTGATGAGTCTTGGGTTTACACTGGTCCTTCTCCTCCGCCTTCTCCTCCTCATCATCTTCCTCCTGTTTCTCCTCCTCCTTCTTCCCCTCCTCCTCCTCCTCCTCCTCCTCCTCCTCCTCCTCCTCCTCCTCCTGCTCCTGCTCCTGCTCCTGCTCCTCCTCCTCCTCCTGCTGTTCTTGTTCCGCGCGGCGCTCGCGGAAGAAGCGCCGGCCGTCGTTCTTCGCCCGTCGGCCGGTTGGTCGTCGTCGTCGCGCGGGAAGAGGATGCGGAAGGGGGCGAAGACGAAGAGGCGGAAGAGGAGGAGGAGGAAGAGGAGGAGGCCAGGACGAGGACGAGGACGAGGACGACGACGTCATCGGGGCCTATAGTGCACGGGTGGACAGGAGCTCTTGGACGTTCCATGGGCCTTGTCGGGGAAAAGGAAGGAGAGAGCAAGGAAGAGAGCAGAGAAGAAGAAGAAAGAAAAGGAGGAGGAGGAGAAGGAGGGAGGGGGCGGGAGGCGGGGAGGAGGAGGAGGAGGAGGAGGAGGTTGTAGGTGCCAGAGCTGTCCAGGGTTACCACATTTTCCCAGAGGCTGTAAGGATGGCAAGGGGGAGGAAGAAGAGGAGGAGGAGGGGAGAGGAGAAGGGCGAGAAGGGCTCGGCTTCGTCCTCCTCGTCATCATCATCCGTACGGTAAGTTCATGCGGCGTTGGCGCGCCAGCGACGCTGGCGAAGGCGGTTAAGGTTGAATTCTGCGACGCGGAAGCGCCGAGAGACGCGGTAACGCCAGTGGGCCCGACGGAATTCAACCTTGAACGATCGGGGCCGCGATCATCGGTTCAAGGTTGAACGATCGACGCTGTGTCGAAAACTTGCGCGCGCCCACGCCGCACGAACTGACGTACAATCACCACCAGAAGCCAGTATCCTGGCACAGCCTCCCCGCTTCGCCGGTTCCTCCCGCGGCCCAGCCATCCTCCCTCCAGCGCCAGGGCCGCCCTGCGCAGCTACCTCCTGTTCCTCGTTCTCGTCCTCGTCCTCCCCTTCGACCTCCTTTTTCTCCTCTTCCTCCTCATCCTCCTCCGCCTCCTCCCTCCTCCTCCTCCTCCTCCTCCTCCTCCCTCCTCCTCCTCCTCCTCCTCCTCCGCCTCCTCCTCCTCCTCCTCCTCCTCCTCCTCCTCCTCCTCCTCCTCCCTTCCTCCTCCTCCGCCTCCTCCTCTCATCCTCCTCCTCCTCCTCCTCCTCCTCCTCCTCCTCCTCCTTCCTCCCCTCCTCCTCCTCCTCCTCCTCCTCCCTCCTCCCTCCTCCTCTCCTCCTCCTCCTCCTCCTCCTCCTCCTCCTCCTCCTCCTCCTCCTCCTCCTCCTCCTCCTCCTCCTCATCCTCCCCCTCCCCCTCCTCCTCCTCCTTCCCCTCCTCCTCCTCCTCCTCTCCTCCTCCTCCTCTCCTCCTCCTCCTCCTCCTCCTCCTCCCCTCCTCCCCCTCCTCCTCCTCCTCCTCCTCTCTCCTCCTCCTCCACCCTCCTCTCCTCCTCCTCCTCCTCCACCTCCTCCTCCTCCCTCCTCCGCCTCCTCCTCCTCTCCTCGCCTCCTCCTCCGCTCCTCCTCCTCTCTCCTCCTGCTCTCCTCTCCTCCTCCCTCCTCCCTCCCTCCCCTCCCTCCTCCCTCCCTCCCTCCCCCCCTCCTCCCTCCCCCCTCCCTCCTCCCTCCTCTACCTCCTCCCTCCTCCTCCTCCTCCTCCCCTCCCTCCTCCCTCCCACCCCCTCCCTCCTCCCTGCTCCCTCCCTTCCTGCTCCTCCTCCTCATCTCTCCTCCTCCTCCTCCTCCTCCTCCTCCTCCTCCTCTCTTCCTCCTCCCTTGTCCTCCTCCTCCTCCTCCTCCTCCTCCTCCTCCTCCTTCTCCTCCTCCTCCTCCTCCTCCTCCTCCTCCTCATCTCTCCTTCCCCCTCCCCTCCTCCTCCTCCTCCTCCTCCTCCTCCCTCCTACTCCTCCTCCTCCTCCTCCTCCTCCTCCTCCTCCTCCTCCTCCTCCTCCTCCTCCTCCTCCTCTTCCTCCTCCTCCAAGTTCAAGCCATGTTGGCTCAAGGTTGGTCGGCGCGACCTGGGTCCTTCGGTCGGCGCGCGGCGGGCGCGCGCTGGGGCGCCCATGGAGATCCGAAGTCGCCCGATCATCACAGAGCTGCCTGGAAACCAGTGCAAGCGGCTTCGGACTGGCGGACAGTACTTCGCGAAGCACGGCGAGGCCAGCACGCAGGAGGCCACCCGCAACATTCAGCAGCTCATGAGCTTGGCCATCAACACCTTTGGATGCAACCAGGAGGTCTTCCTGCGCGAGCTCATTTGCAATGCGGCCGACGCCCTGGACAAGAACCGTTATGAGTCCATCACGGTCACAGACAAGCAGGAGGCGCAGCCGAACGTCGATATCAAGACAGGTCCCGCCAAAACCAATTCTAGTATGACGACCGAGTATTCCAGTATCGGCATGACCAAGAACCAGTTGTTCAAAGTCTTCGTCACCATCGCCAGGGCTGGCACCAAGCCCTTCATTAAGGCAATTGTTGTTGATAGCGACATCTACATGATGTGGCATTTCGGAGTTGGCTTCTTCTCCGGGCGTCCCGTCTCGGACCAGGTGCTCGTGATCATCTAGGAGTCGTCGGGTGCTGTCGGCTCCTCCACGGTGCAGAATTACACAGATATGGTGCATGGGGTGATCAAGCGTGGCACCATCATCCTGCTACTTGGAGGTGGACCAGCCAGATTTCCCGGAGGAGCGCCGCCTGAAGGATCTGGTCAAGAAGCGCTCGGGGTCCAATGGTTTCCCAGCAATTCGACTGTGGAGAAGTCCAAGAACAGGAGGTCTGCATTATGAGGACGTTGAGGAGGAGAAGGTGGATGAGGACAAATAATGTGAGGAACCGAAGCTCGAGGAGGTCGACAAAGACGCCTCTCGACTTATGCGCGTCCAGAAGTGCAACAACATCAAACTGTACACGAAGCGTCTTCATCAGAACGGTTGTGATGTGCAAGTGCCCGTTCCGCTAGTAGCCCCGTCAGGTTGATAAGCCAGTTTCTGGCGCATCCCTGCCCCATGTTCTTAGCCCGGTGGATCCAGGGCTGCGCGTTCCAAAGCCCCCTATGGAAGGGGGTGCGGATTTTGAACGCTCCCGTGATGGGAATCGGACTTCAAATGACATTCAGGTTCGGAGGCATAGGGCCTCCTGCTGCCGCGTCTGGCGGCTGCACCACTCACTAACTCACCCCCCAGCCGCGAGAGCGTCCTTCTCCACTCCCTCTCCTTATAGATAACTCCCCCCTGTCGCACCCCGAGGCCATTTTCTAGGGCGGGCGGGGCGTTCCGCTTGAGACTTCCTCACCACTCATGGCTCTGAAGCTTAAGAAATGAAAACAGCTTCACAGATTGAGGGCGGGTCGTTTTCAAAATGTAGCTCTCGCCTTAGCGCCGCGCAAATTCTGTTTGTTTATATATGTGTGTGTGTGTATATATATATATATATATATATATATATATATATCGGAGGTGAGGGGGTGAGATCGAAGTGGAACGGAGAGCCCCCCTACCGGGAAATCGATTTCGGTTTCGTGTTCGTGCGTGCCGTGCGGGCGGGCGAGGCGAAGCTGCGTGGGCGGGCGAGAAAAAGTCTCCTGTGGCTGAGGCGCGGCCGGACCAAATGTCTCCCTTCCGGGCGGCCGGTGGCCCGCGGTGTCCCGCCGGTGTCCCGCTGGTGTCCCGTGTGGCTGAGGCGCGGCCGGACCAAATGACTCCCTTCCGGGCGGCCGGTGGCCCGCGGTGTCCCGCCCGGGGTGTCCCGCGGTGTCCCGCGGTGCCCCGCGGTGTCCCGCCCGTGTCCCGCGGTGTCCCGCGATGATGATGATGATGATGATGATGATGATGATGATGATGATGATATGATGATGATGATGATGATGATGATGAGATGATGATGAGATGATGATGATGATGATGATGATGATGATGATGATGATGATGGTGATGATGATGATGATGATGATGATGATGGTGTCCCGATTATGATGATGATGATCGATGATGATGATGATGACGATGATGATGATGCTGATGGTGTCCCGATGATGAGGATGAT